CTTTAGATGTTTTAAGTGTTGTTTTAACGAGCATGCATCCGAGCAGGCTTGGACTGCATTTTCCGCTCCATCGTTCTGGTTACCATGCACGTACTCCGAGTCCCTAGTTCAGCCTTACAAGCCAGATAAGTTGATTAAACTTTTCTCCCATTCATTATTATTACATTTACTTTGATTAAATACATTGCGTATCAGTTCTTTTGATTTGTGTTTTGTTATCAGTACTTACACGTTAGGTGAAGTACTGGTTGAGCAGGTAGTAGAGCACATCAAGTTGAGTAGGGTTGATCAAACGTTACGGAATTGTAACACACTCCCCCTACAATTGAATTTATAAGATCAGATGGCATAGCCAGAAAGAATAAGCAACAAGGAGTTCTGGGAACGAACCAACCAAGAACTTATCGCTCAACAAATGTGCAGAATTAAGTGGAGATGGATTAGGCACACACTGAGAAGGCCGACTGGGGACATTACACTCCAGGCCAGGCCGTCGAGTGGAACCCAGATGGGAAACGACGAGTTGGGCGTCGGAGGCGAGGGTGACATAGATAAGGTCGTGCGAGGTTCAAAAGATTGTAGAGAACAGAGTAGAATGGAGACGTGGTAGTGAAGCCCTATGTTCCACTAGGAACCCAAGGGACTAATAATAATAATAATAATAATAATAATAATAAGGTGGGATACAGCGACAACGTTAATAACTAACTTAGTTGGTTGGTGAGAGGAAAGCATTGATCACCGAATCTTTGTTTATCGAATCAACATTAAATACAAACAGTAATAGAAAGCATTGTGCACGTGTCCCAGATATATATTGAGAATTCTACTACCCTTGTGATCACAAAGAAGGAGGGAAAATCAGGACTATATAAACTCTGTTTCAAAGGTGTAGAGTTAGTTACCTGATATGACTATGGACAATAAATTGTGTCCGTAACGTTATCCAGTAAATGACACTGTTCCTTCATTATGTGTGACATTTCTAATAAACAGACTAAAATACAATTAAATTTCGCGGTTTGTGAAGATTTAGAGATTTTTCAAGTTGGTATTCACTGAGATAACTTCAAGGAATATTGGAAACCTGGGAGCACTGCATAGCCGTTCCGTCTCGCTAGTAACGGACTCCTTAGCAGTGGGCACACACGACCCCGCCAGGTATCGTCCTGTCTTCGCTGCCTCTTATGTCAACTTGTTAGTTTTCACCTGTAGATCTTCGAGTTTGTGCGACATTAGACATTAGAAATAAATCATCATCGTTGGCGAAATCCAAATCTTCCTCTGTCGTCTTCTCATCCGTCCACCTAGAGTATGCCTATCTTCTCACAACTTCTCACATTTCCTTGCACCATCCACTCCACTCCAGTCTACTCCAGTCGAGTTGAGTCGACCACAATCATGAAGATGATCGGTGATAGTAGGTGGTAACCTTGTCTTACTCCTATCTTCACTTCACTTCAAAGGCATCACTGAGCTGAGCTTTCCATTGTGGATCACTTGGTATGTAACGTCGTCATATGGCATATAACTGGTGTTGAATGAGGTTGATAAAGGTTTTTGGCACTAAAATGTAGTTTTGAAGCAGGTACCTGTCAGATTAGTTTTCGGTCGACGCTGTGGAAAGCCTTTCCGAAATCGATGCAGTTGAGGTCGAGTTGAATTGACTGACATTCTATACTCTGTTATAATGATGATGAGTAGCGTAACGTTGTAATTTGAGGGGCAAATGATTTGTTCTTCCTGAATCCAACGAGTCAGGCAGGCAGCCTGTTCCGGTCATAATTTGTAATCCAGGGTGTTGTTTAGTCTCTTTAGGATGATGATGCTTAATATTTTGCTTGAGGTGGACAGGGGTGGAACATGATTCCCCGCTAGTTCTTGGAAAGACTTAGTTGTGCCTTCCTTAGGAGTTCGACCAGGTGGCCTTTCTTCTAATCGGCAGGTACCTTTCCTTCATTCGAAACCTACTGCAGTGGTGGTGTGAGCTTGTCCGCTGATGTCTCTGAGTCTGTTTTCAATGCTTCTCGCGTGATTCCATCTGGTCCTGCTGCTTTCCCGGCTCTCAGTAACATTATGGCGTTCAGGACTTCACTCCTGCTTTTGTCGGAGAGTTTGTGTTCCCTGATAATTCTGTGGCTACTTGGGGTATTTCTGGATAAGGTGAAGGTTGTGATGGTGGTCGATTCAAGAGGTTTTTGAAGTAGTCAGGCTATTGTTCCCTTTGTTTCTTCTCTTTGGTAACTAAGTTTCCTTCAATATCTTTTATTGGTTTCAGCTGTGTTGATCTCCTCCATGCTGGATAGCATTTTCGTTATTTGATATGGTGTTGGCAGGACTCTCCTATCTTCAGCTTATTCTGCTTCACTTGCCAATGTGTCGTAGAATTGTCTTTTGTCTTTGCGCGCACTTTTCACTTCTTTGCCCAGTGTTTTATAGGTTGTATTCAGTTCCTCTTTTCGTTGTTCATCCTTGCACTGCACTGGTTTATCGTCTGCTTCACCATCTTCCTCTCGTCTATCAGCTTCCATGTGTCCATCGAGATCCATTCCTTGTCCTGTCTTGCTTCTCCTTCCTTCGTAACACGGTTATGCAGGTTTCCTTTCACATCTCTTTCAAAAAGTTCCAGTGTTCTTTCATGGAGTTTTCTTCAGGGATGTTGCTTAATATCTCACATTTTGTCCTGATGGCTGACTGATGTGGAGATGTCCTTTGTAGGTTTGTCCTTCAGTTCAGTTTGTGTTCTGGGTGTTGCAGTTGAACTGTGTTCTATCATTACAAGCCTTTTTGAAGGCTTTCAACTTGATTTTGAAGGAAGGTTCCTGCACTAGATAGTGAGTGGTGTGAACCTACACCTTCTCCCCTTCGTGATGTTGTGTCAAGTAGGCTGCGTCTCCACTTTCTTCACATTGAGATGAAGTCGATCTGATTTTGTGTGTGTCCATCTGGTGAAGTCCATGTCGCTTTGTGAATGTCCTTGTGTTTGTACACGGTGCCCCCAATCAAATCGTTGAATGCGCAGAATTCTGCAAACAGTTCTGCGTTCTCATTCATTTCACCGAGTGCTTCTTAACCCATGATCAGTTCGCTTCCTGTCTTGTCCACTCCCACTTTGGCATTCATGTTGCTCATTAGAATTTCGATGTCGCCAACTGGAGTCTTGTCTATTACTGATTGCAGTTGTCTGTAGAATTTTTCCTTCTTCTCTTCATCTGCGTTATTTGTTGGCGCGTAGCATTGTAGGATTGTGACTTTCCTTCATTTTGAGTTGAATCTTGCTGTCATGATCCTGGAGGAGGAGATTGGTTCCCAGTGTATGAGAGCCTTCGATGCTGTTGCGGTCATCATGATAGCCACTACGATACTTAGTGTGCTCATGGTTGTCGTCTGGATAACAATATCGGAGTAGATTATTGACAGTTCGGAGAGTCCACTTCAATTCCACTCGCTTTCGCAGATTCCTAGCACTTCAATGCTATACCTTCTCATCTCGTTTGCAATCTGGGCAGCCTTGCTAGGTTCAAACATAGTGGGGACATTCCATGTCCCTGTTCTTACTTTCGCTTTCATCGAGAGAAGACACGTAGACCGATTGACTTCCTGAAGTCTTTCACCAACTGGCGTCCTTTCGCCTCTCCGATTCCAGCGAGCAATAAGTTTAATTTTATTTTTATATTTTCTTTGTGCTTTGAAGTTTCTTTAGCTATTAGATTTGTTTTACGGGGTAGGGTTGCTAGCTCTATGCCCAACCTTCCCTCTTTACCCGGGCTTAGGACCGGCTAGTCAATTAGTTACATAGGTGAGTTTAGCAGGAAATATGGACCATTGAATTCCGACCCAGTTACTAGCTCAATGGTAACGTGCTGACCACAGAACTTGATGTTCCTGTGTTCGATCCAAGATGGGGCGGGCGGGGTCATGGGTGCGCACTTCTGAGGAGTCTCATACTAGGACGAAACTGCTATCCAGTGCTCCTAAGTTTCAAATTTTCTCCCATTTGATGTCAGCCCAAGATGAATACCAACTTAAATTAGAGTTACAATCTACCAGGGTGTTGAAGTTCTACTCTTATATATGTTAAAGAATATATCTACCTACCAGTGATTGATATTGTTCCCATTAAGACTGGAAGCCTGGACTAAATAATTCAAAAACTAAGTCACAGCATTATCCACTAGATCATCGAATCAGGATGGCCACTTTCTATGGAACAGGTTTAGTTCTTCTGTTTGTTTCTTTGTGTGTGTGTGTGTGTGTGTGTGTGTCTTTAACTGTTGTTTACCAATGCTTTGTCATATTACCACCTCATAGTCAATGTATCTTTCTCACTGTCTTAATTTCTTGTTTCCCTTTTTATTATGGTGATCAGTTTGTCGCATACATACACTGTATTGATTAGCCTAAATACTTTAGATGCTTATAAAATTTCTTTTATTCATGTTAAGATTTTATTGGCTTTTACAATAAATTGATGTTTAAACCCCACTTATACTACAAGGAATGGGGGAAGAAGTGTGCTCAATTTATCACTTTATTTGTATTTTGAGGGAGTTGTAAAGATTTGGAAATATTTCAAGTTGTTATTCATCGTAGACTGACATCAGTTGAAGAGGAACAAAGGGAACTTGGGAGCACTGGACAACTGTTTCGTCCGACTAGTATGGGACTCCTCAGCAGTGTGCACTCACAACCCCACCAGGGATTGAACCCGTGACCTTCAGGTTCCGTGGCCAGCGCGTTATCATTGAGCCACTGGGTCAGAATCCAATGCTCCCAGGTTTCCTTTGTTCCTCCAACTGATGTCAGTCTACGATGAATAATCACTTTTATTTGTATCAAATTAATGCAAAGATGAATAACAGTTTTGTTTACTGCACCTAATGATGCATAAACTCATATGGTATGCCATGTAATGGGCATTTATGAGATTTGATGTATTGACTGGGTGACCTATGGTATATAAGTAATTAATTATTGATGTATGTCTTTTTTCTACTCAGTGATCCAATGAATCCTGGTCAAGATCAAGTATTATTATCACAACCTGATCTACAGAAACAGCGTCAATCGATTGCTTCAGTAACTGGAAGTAGAGGCAGTATTTTTGAAGCAGTACGTCGAAAGTCATCACTTCTTCTAAATAGGTAATTACTATTGATATTCTATGTGACTGTACATGTGGATGTGTTTATTGTTATTCTGGTCACATTTTGATTGTCAATCAATCAGATTAAACTTGTGATCATAGAGTTGTCATGTTTATGAATGTCTACATAGGACCAGCTATCACTAAACAACGGTCCAAGTTGCCTCACCTCATATATCAGCGTATCAAGTAACAAGGCAATAAAATGAGAAGAAGGAGGAGTGAGAAGTTGATGAGATTAAGTATGGCGGTTAAGACGAGGATAATGTGTGTATACATCTGTGCCTGTAACATCGATTCTGAGCCATGTGATCATTTAGAGTCTCTTGTCTCGTGGACCCCAACTGACTAGTCTGCATCACTCTACAAGGTTTGAACCAACAGTCAAGCACTTCATGGATTGATGCCATGTTTTAGTTTGACCATCCTGAGCCTTTTTCAAGTCTGAACCTACTTCGGTGAACATTATGTGATGAGGTAGATGGTCACTAAGTATGTGTAGCACATATCTCAGCCATCTGAGTCGACGAAGGTTCACAACCGCATCAACAGATTTTACTCCTTTCCCTAAAACTCTATACTTGACGTAATGATACCACGAAATACGACCTATGCTACGAAGGCGACGGTGGTTGAACACCTGAAGCCTTCTCATATCCTCTACCTTTAATATCGACGTTTCACAGTAGAACAGATCGGAGTGCAGCACAGTACACTTGAACCTTAAAAGCGTAACAGGGCTGATCCGACTTCCCCAACTTCAGGAGATCGGTCACAAGTTCAATCCTGTTCCATCTACCGAGGTTTAAGCAGCCATATAGTGTCATTAACCATCAAACAAAAGGTGTAGCTCATTGTCTGCTACACAGAAGTGCACCAGGTTGCTGAGCGTATTTTTCATCCAATTCGAAAGGTTTGATTCGTCATCATCATCATCATCATCATCATCATCATCATATTATTATTATTATTATTATTATTATTATTTGTGCCTTTAGTTCCTAGTGGAACACAGGGCTTCAGTAGCACGTCTCCATTCCACTCTCTTCTCTGCAATCTTTTGAACCTGGCTCCAAGACTGCCCACAACCTCTCATTTCTTCCTCACACTACTCCTCCATATCACCGCCGCCTCCGACGCCCAACTCGTCATTTCGCATCTGGGTTCCACTCGAGTGGGTGGCCTGGCGTGTGATGTCCCCAGTCGGCCTTCTCAGTGTATGTCCAGTCCAATCCATCTCCACTTCCTTCCAGTGCATATTTGTTGGGTGATATATTTTTGGTTGGTTGGTTGCCAGGTAGCCAGAGTTTCTTGTTGTTTATTCTTTGTGGCCTTCTCATGTGATCTTGAGTATCGAGCCAGAGTAGGCAGTTGTTGATGAATGTGTGTAGTTTGTTGGAAATGCTTTTCATAACGTGCCAAGTCTGTGAGCCATAGAGAATCAGTGACTTGACTGTGGTTGTTGGTGTATAAAATGTGGATGTTGTTGACGCTTTATGTTGAGTGCAGCAGATCTTTACACTGGTTTCCGGTTAGTGAACGCCTATCTTGCTGTCTTTCCGATCCTGGCTTTGACGTCCTCATCTGTGCCTGTGCCGCCTGTAGTTGGAAGGATGCTATCTAGATAGGTGAAGGAGACTACTTGCTTTGAGTTCCTCCCATTGATGGTAATTGGCGCTTGTTGTTGTTGTTGTTGTTGATTGGGTATCTTCATCACCTCTGTCTTCTCTATATTCACTTGAAGTCCTGTCTTCGTTGCCCTGCCTTGCCTCTTCTATCATCTTGTTGGATTTTGCCTTTAGATCTTGAAGTTTGTGTAACATTAGAGATGAATGGTGATCGGCGAAATCCAAGTCTTCTAGGACGTTTTCTGCGGTCCAGCGTATCCCTGTCTTCTCGCTGCTCATTGTTTGTTGCATGGTGCAGTCGACCATAATGAGGAAGATGATTGGTGATGGTAGGTGGTGGCCTTGTCTTACTCTTGTGTTCACTTCGAAGACATCACTGAGGTTTCGATTATGAATTATTTGGCATGTGGTGTCTTCATATGTTTGTTGAATGAGATTGATAAATGTTTGTGGCACTAAAACTGTAGTGTTGAAGCAGTGTCCAAATTACTTCTCGGTCGACACTACATTCATCATGATAGACGTCGATTTATGAACTATTTGAAGCAGTTGCTTATCTCTGCTGTCTCTTGTTTTTCATTTAACAATTCACACATTCTACATCATTCACCCTAATGAAGTTTGTTTGAGAAACCAAGTATTATTGTTAATCGTTACAAAACATTTTTTCTTCATTGGTTTTTATACACATCTGTGTAGGGTTTCTGAGTTGTGCTTCTCACTTCATTGCCAGTAATTATGTCATGCATGAGTTCAACTTTAGTTGTATTCATTTCGACTGGTTCCATATCATTATCTTGGATACTTTAGGTGAAATGCCTAGCGTTAAACATAAACATTCATTACTTTATTGACTTGTATTTCTCTATCACGCTGGATTGTCATGATTATACTCGCCATCACATAGTTTTATTTGATTCACTGAGTTTGATTCATTGAATGTCTCTTTAATTGAGATATTATTCTAAAGGAAATGAAATGAAAATTGAATAAATAATGATTTTTTTTTAGCGGAAAAAAGGTTTATGGAAATCAGTCGGTTGTTATAATTTACACTAATTAACAGAAGGGGGGGGGGAGTGTAATCGATCCCAGACAAGTTAATCTGTTAAGAAAAAAACCAGAAAAACACTGGAGTCAAAGTGACAAGTGAACGTAAACTTAGGTCTTGAATGAATACAATCTGGAGGATTATAAAGAAATAGAGTATACAGCAATTAGATAACATTACCTGACGCGTGATGTTCTCAGTCGGCCTTCTCAGTGCATGCCTAATCCAGTCCATCTCCACTTCCTTATTCTGCATATTTGTTGGGTGATAGGTTCTTGATTGGTTCGTTCCCACAGCTCCTTGTGGCTTATTCTGACTATTTTGGCCATCTGATCTTCAGTAGCGACCCAGCGTAAGCAATTGTTGATGAATGTCTGTAGTTTATTGGAAATCCCTTTCGTGACGCGCCAAGTCTCTCAACCATACAGAAGCACTGACTTGACGTTGGTGTTGAAAATCCGTATCTTGTTCCGAATGCTGAGTGCAGAAGATCTCCACACTGGTTTCAGGCTAATGAACACCTGTCTTGCTTTCCCGATTCTGACTTTGACATCCTCATCTGTGCCTGTGCCACCTGTAGTTGAAACAGTGCTTCCTAGATAGGTGAAGGAGGTTACTTCCTTAAAGTTTCTCCCGTTGATGGTGATTGGAGTTTGTTGTTGATATTGGTGCGGTATCTTCATCACCTCTGTCTTCTCTATATTCACCTGAAGTCCCGTCTTCGCTGCCTCTTCTATCAACTTGTTAGTTTTTGCCTGCAGATCTTCAAGTTTATGTGACATTAGGCATAAGTCATCGGCGAAATCCAAGTCTTCTAGGTTCTTTTCCGTCGTCCAGTGTATCCCCCTCTTCTCGCTGCCTACTGTTTGCTGCATGATCCAGTCCACCACAATAAGGAATATCATGGGTGATAGTAGGCAACCTTGTTTCACTCCTGTCTTCACTTCAATGGCATCACTGAGCTTCACATTGTGGATTACTTGGCATGTGGCATCTTCATATAGTTGTTGAATGAGGCGGATAAAGGTTTGCGGTACTCCTTAGTATTGAAGCAGTTTCCAAATTACTTCTCGGTCGACGCTGTCAAAGGCCTTCTCAAAGTCGATGAAGTTGAGGTATAGAGCTGATTGCCATTCTATGCTCTGTTCTATGATGATGCGAAGTGTGGCGTTGCAATTTGGTCTGCACATGATTTGTACTTCCTGAAGCCTGCCTGTTCCTGTCGTAGTTTTGAATCCAGTGCATCCTTTAGCCTCTCCAGGATGATGCGGCTTAATATTTTACTTGGGGTGGACAGGAGAGTGATTCCGCGCCAGTTCTTGCAAGCACTGAGGTCTCCCTTCTTCGGCAGTTTGACAAGGTAACCCTTCTTCCAATCGTCAGGTACCTTCTCTTCCCTCCACACCTTCTGCAATAGTGGTGTGAGCATGTCCGCTGTTGTCTCTGCATCTGTTCTCAGTGCTTCTGGCGGTATTCCATCTGGTCCTGCTGCTTTCCCGCATTTCAGTAGCTTTATGGCGTTCAGGACTTCCATTTTCGTTGGGGGATTAATGTTCACTTGTAGTTCAGCGGCTGCAGGTGGTATTTCTGGACGAAGTGCAGGTGGTGGTCGATTCAAGAGCTTCTTGAAGTGGTCGGCCCATCGTTTCCTCTGTTTCTCTTCTTTTGTAATTAAATTTCCTTCTTCATCTTTTATTGGTTTCATCTGTGTTGGTCTCTTCCCTGATAGCAACCTGGTTATTTGATACAATGTCGTCAGGTCTCTCTTACCTGCAGCCTGTTCTGCTTCACTTGCCAGTGTGTCGTAGAAGTGTCTTTTGTCGTTGCGTGCACTCTTCTTCACTTCTTTGTCCAGTGTTTTATACATTGTGCTCAGTTCCTCTTGTCGTTGAGCATCCTTGCACTGGTTTATCTTCTGCTTCACCATCCTCCTCTCCTCTATCAGCTTCCAGGTATCCGTCGAGATCCATTCCTTGTCTTCTTTCTTCTTCCTTCCTAATACTGTTGTGCAGGTTTCTTTCCACATAGCTTTCAAAGACTTCCAATGTTCTTCCACACAGGTTTCTTCAGGGATGTTGCTCGATGTCTCCCATTTTGTCTTGATGGCTGCCTTGAAGATCTCCTTTGTAGTTTCATCCTTCAGTTTCCGAGTGTTGTACTTGAATTGAGGTCTATCACCAGCTTCCTTGAAGGCTTTTAACTTGATTTGGAAGGTTCCTTGCACTAGGTAGTGGTCTGAACCTACATCTGCTCCTCTTCTTGACCTTGTGTTAAGTAGACTGCGTCTCCATTTTCTTGAGATTGAGATAAAGTCGATTTGATTTTTAGTGTGTCCATCTGGTGAAGTCCATGTCGCTTTGTGGATATCCTTGTGCCTGAACACACTGCCTCCAATCACCAAATCGTTGAATGCGCAGAATTCTGCAAACAATTCTCCATTCTCATTCATTTCACCGAGCGCCTCTCGACCCATGGTTAGTTCTCTTCCCGTGTTGTCCCCTCCCAGTTTGGCATTCATGTCGCCCATTAGAATTTTGATATCGCCAACTGACGTCTTGTCCAGTGTTGATTGAAGTTGTCTGTAGAATTCCTCCTTTTTCTCTTGCTCTGCATTATTTGTAGGTGCGTGGAGTAGCATTGTATGATTGTGACCTTTCTTCCTTTTGAGTTGAATCTTGCTGTCATGATCCTGATGCTGGGAGATGAGAGTGGTTCCCACTGCATGAGAGCCTTCGATGCTCTTGAGGACATCATGATAGCCACTCCGAAACTCAGTGTGCTCGTGCTTGGCGTCTGGGTGACAATATCGGAGTAGATTATTGATTCTCCAGTTGACAGTTTGGAGAGTCCACTCCCATTCCATCTGCTTTCGCAAATCCCAAGCACTTCGATGTTATACCTTCTCATCTCCTTTGCAATCTGGGCTGCCTTACTGGGTTCAAACATCGTACGGACATTCCATGTCCCCACGTTTACTTTCGCTTTCATCGAGAGAAGACACATCGGCCAATTGGCTTCCCGAAGGCTTTCACCAAATGGCGTCATTTCGCCTCTCCGATTCCAGCGAGCAATAAGTTTAATTTTATTTTTTATATTTTGTTTGTGCTTTGAAGTTTCTTTAGCGGTTAGATTTGTTTTACGGGGTAGGGTTGCTAGCCCTATGCCCAACCTTCCCTCTTTACCCGGGCTTAGGACCGGCTAGTAACTAGTTAACTAGTTAACCAGGCGAGGTTACATCAAGTAAAAGGGGGAGTAAAGTGAAAGATGAAGAAGAAAAGAGAATTCAGTGAAGAGAAATATAAGGTACTAAAATAGAGAGAAAGAATGATAAAATGGTGAGATTCGGTATGGTGTCGTTAAGATGAGGATAATGTATGTGGGGATACATCTGCGCCACTCACATACTTTCTCAGCAATGTGATCACCTAGAGTCAGTCTCCAAACACTGGTTCATTTCTTTTGTTTTGTGGACCTCAACCACCCAGTCTGCATCGCCCCATATGGCTCAAACCAACACTCAAACACTTCATACATTGATGAGATGTTTTAGTCTGGTCGAGAGCCATGGGCCTTTTTCCAATCTGGACCTACTTCTGTCAACATTGTTTGACAAGGCAGACGGTGACTAGGCATACCAAGCACATGTCGGAGCCAACTATCTGAGTCGATGAAGGTTCACAACAGCATCATCAACTCACTTACCTCTTCTCCCTCCCTAAAACTCCACACCTGACGTCTGCGATGCCGCGGGATTATACAAGTAAAAATACACCTTATACAATGAAGATATTTCCGCTAAATTTCATCCTCTTTTGTATTACAATGAGAATTATGACACTATATGAATACTGGTCACAAAATTAATTAACTACTTAGTTGTCGAATTCGATTACTCACCAGTAAGTTGAGTACCGAGGATGAAATCCACCTATCTGGTCACAAGATTGTAGGAAGAAAATCCAACGGTCGCTGGTTCGAATCCGACCATGGTCCAGATTTTCATTTCACCTTCAATCAATCATCACTCAGTAATAATACTAGTCTGCCGAACCACGGCTGCTATCTCAGATTGTCAAAATGGTAATCAATATCATGCTCTTCACCTCTCAAATTCACTTATATATCCATTGGGATAATGAGAAGTCCTGACTTAACAGCAGCCATTGTGAATACGATCAAGCGATAGTAACACGTTACAAATTCACATGGGTAGTCGTTCAAACTCCCACCTTGTGATTGAAATGAAACAAAAATCTACTGAGGAGTCGAACCTCGTAGCTCAATTGGTAGAGCATGGGGTCGATAACCTGGTACCCGCTGGTTCGAATCCGACTGATGTTTTCAATTCATTTCGTAAATTTTCATACAAGTAGAAATGATGGATAGTGGCTAGCAGTGGAATCCAGGATTCGCATTTCGTTCTATAAATAGTTCGATAAGTCCATGTATGTGACACGATTGTTCAAAATACGTTTCAGATGAACTTTGTTTTCTGATTATGCTGTTTAGGTTGTGTATTTTTTTTTGGAAAAACCTTTTTAGTTTTGTAACTAAATGTTAACAGCAAACAGTGATCAAGCATAATTTTAAGTTATACGTTTGAAATTTTATTAGTTTATTCATAAGAACCAACTAATAATGAATATGATGTGATACAGAGAGCAATGTAATAAGTGGGTTATTTTGTAAGGATTACTTGGTTTCAAAGCAATTTCTACAATGGATTGAAATTATTGAGAGTACTGGACAGCCGTTTTGTCTTAGTTCGTGATACTTTGGCAGTATGCCTCGAGGAGTCTTTTA